AAAAAATAGTATTAAACTAGTAACTTTCAGATAGAGATGGTATAGCATTTACCATTAATGAAGAAGATGGTTTTTTAACAACTTTTAATATTTCTGATTGGTTACAAATTACCATAAAAGCAACAACAATATTAAAAAGAAAAGAGTAATGGCAATGAAAAAATGAAAAAAAAAAAAAATCTTTGACTTTAAATTTATCTTTGAGAAGTGCCTCATCAGTCTCACTTTGGTTTGCAGTAATACACTCATTTGTAATGGAGATGATCTAAAAAAATTAAAATTTAATAACCAAAAGTTTCATATCTACAACTTTTATTTTTAGGTTTTTTCTCTGAATAATGACTTATATTTATTTTTGTATTTTTTTCACTTGCAATGGTCAGAAAATCATCTAATAACTGTCTGATAATAAACAAGAAAGCATAATTATCATGAAGTAAACAATCTGATAAAATGGCGTATTGCTCTTACTCCAAATTACAGCTGTTTGAAAACTGTTTGTTAATGATGAACCTAATAAGCAGATTGAATTTCCCTTTGTTCCATTATGATGTAATTTTTATTACACCATAATGGAGCAAAGGAAAAATTTTTATTACACCATAATGGAACGAAAACCATCTGATTTTATAAGAATTAAAAATATAAATGGGTAATAGTTTATAAATATAACAAAAAGTTTAATACAAAATTATTAAATTTTGTTATAGTACTAGAATTGACATTTGACTTACTTATAATCATAGATCATCCGGGTCATATTTTAAAAATCCGGAAAATCAGTAGGGTAAAATATCTGGAATATATTTTCCCTAATATTCCTAATAATTTTGATTTTAGCTGAGCTGTTTTTAATTTTTTTTTAACTTTTCTTAAGTTTTGTATGAGTAATGAGTGAAAAAGCTTAAAAAACAAATATATTACAAAAATATATTTATAAACTTGTATGTATAGAAAACATATTTGATATCTGGAAAAACTAAAAGTTGAGAAAAATATCCGGAATTCCGGAAAAATCCGGAAAAAGATAATCCCTGCTTATAATATATAATCAATTCATTTTCTGATACATTTTGTCAATATAGACGAAAATATGCACTTTGTTGACACTATATACACATGACCTATATAATCTGGCAATTACTGAGACAGAAATATGCAGCCCTCTAACAAAGATGTTAGTGGTTGTTTGATTTTATGCGCATTTTTTGAGGACCATTGGTCAAAAACAAAAAGCGTTTGTTTGAATCATCGCTCGCTTTACATTCCATAAATATGCACAATTGGCTGTTTTGATTAGATACAGATCTGTCAACTGTCTGACATTAAATTAAATTTTTTTTGAAGGGGATTTGTTAACAATCTGAAATTTTCATAGTATATGCAAAGGCAAATATTGTGGGGAAAATTGTTTGCCAGCTTGACATAGAATGGCTGCAGATAATAAAATTAGATTTCCCCACTTTTAAATTAATATGTTCACTTTATTTTAACAGTAAATATGCTTCTCCTAAGGTCATCAGCATGTGACGAATTTCTAAAAATTTCTAAAAGAAAATAAAAATTGTTTACAAAAACTGAAAACCTTGTTAAATAAAATGCGATTTCTACATATAAATGATGTCATATCTACTCTTTTGTTTCCTTTTTAATAAAAACATTTTTGCAACCTAGAGCCATTCTACTGATATATTCTCGCAAATAAAAATCAAGAACTTTGTAATTAGCATTGTACAACCAACGTAGTCAGGGCCCGATTTTGAAATATCAGTAAATAGCATAATAAATAAATAGTATTTTAATACTTCCTTTCAAAAAGATATTTTCTTTTGTTTGAAGCTGCAGATAATGTTGAATTAATCTTTTTAAGCGCCTTTCCAAAACTGTAGAGATAAAAAGGATTGTTCATTATCAGACGTAGATTGGTTTTTCATCAATTTTTATGGGCATTGCAACCCCCAGATGACCATGTCGACAGTAATTCACACATTTCATGTTTTACACACTTATTAACATGAGTAAGTACTACCTATGGTGAAAATTTCATGTTGGTGTCTTAAGCCTTTCCTACTAAATCAATTGCTAATTAAAACCATATTTTGTTAAATTTTTTTAAAAATATTTTGTGGTAAATCATCAAAGCAATGAACTGTCAATTAAATTTTATGAAAAAATAGTTTAAGTTACAAAGTCAAATTATAGACTGTTTTTATCAACAATACAAGCAACCATGTAAAGCAATATCAGCGTATGATGCCAATGCATACATACGCTAATATGTATGCATTGGCACCATATTGGCATACAATTTTTTTTTTTTTTATTTTTTTATTTTAATTCACCTCCTCAAGGCTGAGAAGCCACTACAGACGAGGAGGCTACTTATTTGTGGCTATAACTGTATATAACTATAATTAACTGGTATCTTATCTATTACACACAGTTCTACTATCAAACAGTTTCTTGCAATTGTCAAAATGCTCATCATCATAGAAATACTGTCTTGCTGAACTGCCAGACAACATTGGTGGTGGTAGATTGCATAGCACATTAGTGAATGGTATCCAGCAGATATCTTCACGATGTGGCCAAGTTAATCTGTTTGTAGGTGTTCTGTTCATGAACTTTACCAAGATATCTTGATGTTCATCAGAATGTTCTGTTATGCAACCAATAAACCAATCAGTGTCATAAACAACAGCCCAAAACTGTCCTGGATGCAAATCTAT